TATGACTTTTGCTTGTCTTATTGCAGTGGGAGACGTCATAACTCATCAATGTAAGAGGTATTTCTCACTTTCTATTAACCAGGCTCTCAAGGAGGAAGTAGCATGTGCAAGGTCACACACGAGCAGTGAACGTCTGAAGGAAGAAATTAAATACATTAGAATAAAAGAGAATTATTTATTAGACAAAGCATATTTTGACAATTGTCAAGATAAAAATAAAGATTAATAGAGGAATATTTAACAATAAATAAGACTAATAAAAAAGGAATATTTAAAAATAAATAATATAGTTATGTGGTCTATTCAGAAACCCATAAAAATATAGTTATGTGGTTTATTCAGAAACCCATAAAAATATAGTTATGTGGTCTATTCAGAAACCCATAAAAATATAGTTATGTGGTCTATTCAGAAACCCATAAAAAGAGGATGATAAATCAAATGAAGCATAATGATATTTGAGCAGATATTTCAAAAAAAACATGTATGCAAATGCCAAAAAATGGAAGAAAAAGACAAAAGAAAGTTAAAATGACAGTTGCTTCAACTCTCTTACAATGAAATAAAGTGTTTAAATACATCGTCTATCAAACAACTTCATGACTAAGATGATGTAATGTCATAACTAAGATGATGTAATGTCAGATAGAATTGTTGGGCAAAAACTTTGCCAAGAATGGTACTAAGTGAGTATTTGAAGTATGTCATGTATGATGGTAGAGAAGAAAAACTTGATAAAACAAAACAAGACAAAGTTTACACGATTTCTTACTAGAATAAAGGTAATACTTATACTGAAGCTGTTGACTACAACATTAAAAAATTTCAGCTTCCGCTGATGTTGGACCAGGAGAGTTGATTTTTTTTTTAAGTGTAATATGTAACAAATTATGATATTACTTGTAATGAAGCTTTAAAAATAGATACTGTAAGTGATGAAACTTACAAAACAGATACGGCATATGATGAAACTTGTATAAAGGTATTGCAAGTAATAAAACTTGAAGAAATAGTCATATCAAGTCAGGTATGCCTGGTATTAAAACATATGTTTTTGTTTTACTTTTTTTTATAAATGTTTTTAGAGAAGAATAAAAGTATTTGACTTGGAATGACCTTTGCACAAGTGTTGTGACTTCCAAAATATTTTGATAGGCGGCTCTGGCTTATCTTCACGTGGTGTCTATTGTTACAAATGATTATTATAGTGTTCCATTTATGAAATTGATTATTTTAATTATTTACTAAAAGCCAAGAAAACTATTTAATCTTTGGATATCTAAAATGTTTTAATACAGAACAATATAAAATTGATTGTTACATTTTTTTTTATAGGATACAACACTGATATTTTTGGTAATGAAATAAAATATATTTAATGAAATACCAAAAAATGAAATATACTAATTTATTTTGTTTGTTAAAGATTCAATTATTTTTAAGAATTCAACATCTTTTTATTGTAGGTTGTGGGTAACCATTACCGCCCTATTCAACAAACTTCTCAACTTAACCAAAATTTACGAATAGCAGCGAAATGACTTTTTTTTCAAAAGTAGGCTCGGTTGTGGTCTTTATCTTTAGCTTGTAGGTTATACTTGGTGCCAAAAGCCTAATTCATGTTTTAAATTGTTAACTCATTTTAAAATAATTATAATTGTTATTATAAAGATTTATTTATTTTACTTATTTATTTTTTTAGGTTTGGGGGGGGGGGGGGCACACGCTCCTTCCACAAGTCAATAAACACACCACCAATAAATGAAATTCTTGTAACAAAAAAAAATTTCATGTTTTTTATACTGTGTACTAGTTTCACTTATTTTATTAAATATAGAAATATTTATTTATTTATAATTAGAGAATTAAATATTTTTGAAATTAGGGTGTGTTAAACCATCACCACAATATCCATCACCAACTTTAATAAACATCAATCATTGATAGTCTGGAATAAAATTATAGCAACTTTTTGTAAAAATAAAATAACCGTTTGTTGAAAAAAAACACTTTTTATTGAAAGAAATATGCTTATTTTTAGGGTAAAGGTGGTAGTTCGGCACCCCCTCTAGCCCCCAGGAAATGCGCAATAGGTGGACGATGTTATAAATTTGTAGCCCACAGTTACACCTATCTTTTAATACTAAGTTATAGGTATTTAGATAAGAATTGAAAAATTTACAACAATTTAAGTTAAGAAAAATTAAATTTTGACCACAGTTTCTTCAACAAATCCATATATCAAAAATTTGCGACTAAAAACGTCATAACTTTGTGTAGAATAGTCCGATTTTAATAATTTTTTCACCTTTAAAATACTGTATTGAAGCACTTTCCAATGATATATAACAATCTAACCTTTGATCAATTTAAAATTTTTCATCCACATACCTAGTATACAGTATATAGTATTTCAAGTATAATAATTGATATACTATATCAAGAACCAAGTTCTGACTGTTTGAAAGACTTACACATCGCAGAATCTCATGGATAGTCATATTTTTCTAAAGGAAAACCTATTAATAAGACAGAGAGTTTATGCTGATAATTCAATATCTTTAATTAACAACTTTTAGATACGAAATAATTGGAACAGTACATTATTCGAAGTAATTGGACCAGTACATTAGTTAATAAACTTTTTGAAATATTACAATATCAAGGTTTGAACTTCGCTTATAACTAATTACTTAACTTTAGTAATTATTTATTAGTGAAGTTCAAAAGTTTTCACTAAAAAATAAGTCTAATTGAAAAAATTAAACCAGTCGTAACAGTTATATAAGAGACAGGAGGGTAGAAAATTTCCTTTACACTAAAGGAAATTTTCTACCCGCCTGTCTCTTATATAACTGTTATGACTTGTTTAAGTTTTTTAATTAGACATTTTTTAGTGACTTATCCTACTCTTTTATTATCTGATTTTCTAAAAGTATCCTTTAGACGATAGAGCTAAATAATTTTTCTCTTTTATCATTCTTTAAAAGTTCAATATGAATAATTTTAATTAAAATCAATATTTATATTTATTATTTGATAAAATTTATTTTTTAGTAACTTATCTAACTTAAATAAGCAAAGAAAAATATATTTAAAGATGGAATTGATTTAATATTTTTTGAAATAATTTTTTTAGAATGATTTTTTGAAAATTTATGGTTTTAGTTTTAGTATTTAGTAAAAAATATATAACACAGCTAAAACATTTAAATCAGAATTTCAGTGGATCTATATAGGCATTTTAGGTAATTGCAGTTTTGGTAATCAATTTGTTTTATTATATAATGTAATCATTCATATCATTATATAATGTAATCATTATATAATGTAATCATATATAATAATCATTTGTTTTATTATATAATGTAATCATTCATTAATTGCAGTTTTGGTAATCACTTATGGCCCATTAGTGACAGCAGCCAAAAGTGGCTAACATATGAATAACCACTATATCACTTGTTAGAATGTTTTTGGTAATTTACTAAGTAACCGATGAGAAACTCTCTTTAATTTCTCCTTATTTATTTTTTTCATCATCTAGGTAATTTTATTAAAGTAAATAGATTATACTTATTAATAAAGAAATTATATAGTCCTTTGATAGATTGCAAACCTATGTTTCTATTGTATATATATATATATATATATATATATATATATATATATATATATATATATATATATATATATATATATATATATATATATATATATATATAAAAGTAATATGTTAATCTATAGTAATTTTTCTGTTTTTGTTTAAAATTTATTGAAAAAAAAAAAGATTCTGTTTTCAATTTAGTTATTTTCTCCTTAATTCTGCTTTTTTTTCTTTCAAAAGATTGTCTTTCGTAACCAAATCTCTTTAAATATTAGACAAATATCTCCTTAAAATCTTTAAATTTAGCGTCAGTTTTAATAATGTAAACCCTGATTTTGTTTTTGCTAAAAATACAAAATATATGTCAATAAATAAAATAAAAATGAGTTTTGTTACAATTTAGAATTAGTAGAACTAGTTAAAATTTAGAATTATTAGATATAATTAGTTAATTATATATTATTATTTAAAATTAGTAGAATTTGTTGTATTAGTTAAAATTAATAAATAGATAGTGTCAAACATCAATTAGATAATTTAAAGTTGAACAGAAAAATAAAAAAAAAAAAAAATGCTAATGCTAAAAAAATAACACTTGCAAGAATATTTTTTTACTTTTCCATAAATTTTATTTACTTGTTAATTAAGATTTTATTTTTTGGAGCGTCCACTACATCAAGTGTCAGTTGGTATATATTTTGGTTAAAAATCATGTTTGTATTTGGTAATATTATGTTACAATTAATATATATTTAGGAATCTAGAATTAATGTGTTTGTAGTTTTTGTATTTAATTTTGTTTTGAATTAAAGAAATTTTATTTGATTAAATGTGTTTAACTCTAAAGTTCATTTTTATTTTTGCCTTCGGTTTTAAAAAAATAAAACAATGGTTTTGGCTATAGTTCATTTTATGTAATGGTTAATGTAATATAGTTTATTTTATGTAATATGTCTAATGAATTTTTATTAGTAACAACTTCTTTAATTCATTTAGCTCCTCCAAAATTTGTAAGTCTGTGATTCAAAATTTTGCTTTTCTTAAAAAAAAGTTAAAGAAAATATATGAAGTCAGTAATAAATCTTAAAGTTTTACAAAGATTAATGTAAGTAATAATTTTTCTTGTAATAACTATCTTAGAAGTTATTTTACCTATCTAGGCCTTTTTTCTTTATAAATTAATTTTTTTAATACTCCGCAATACTCAAAATAGGTACCTAGTCAATTCAGCTAGAAAAAAGAATATTTAAGAATTTCCTTTCGAAAGATGTAGTTAGTAAAACTTTAAGTTAGTTATATATATATATATATATATATATATATATATATATATATATATATATATATATATATATATATATATATATATATATATATATATATATATATATAAATTATAATAGCATATTGTTTTTTAATTAACTAGTATATAGTCTTTCATTCATTTACTTACTTATCTTAAGAATAATCAAGTATAAAAAACGTTTAAAGTTAAAAATAGTTTTGATCTTTACTAGTGTGATTCTATCGCCAAGTTTTTTGAATGTGATCAATCATTTCTCGATACAAATGTTGCAAAAAGTAGTATATTTTTTATTTTGGTTGAATGTTTAGTTTTTTTTATAAGGGTAAATTACTATCATAATTTACATAAAATTTTAATCTGTAATTATATACATAATGCTCACTTTACAAATAAACATAATTTACACAAAATTTTTGAATTGATTAAAACACTAATGAATTGTCCAATATAACTTACACTAAATTGTCCCATTCAATTACACTAATGTTATTTTGGAGTTTAGAAATATAAGTTATTAAATGATGGTAGCTCATCATGCAGTGCATTTGAGAAGGGCATGCTTTCAAAGTAAGTATAGTTTTACAATAAATAGAGCATTTTTAATACCGCAATTATATTGCATACTTGATATACATAAATATATACGCTGGTCACAACAATCCAGTCAAAAATTTCTTTAAAAAAATAAATTTAGTTTTGAGAAATTCGTATTTTTTGATGTTTGATGTTATGTTTGTAAAATAATAATTATATATATATGTGTGTGCGTGCGTGTGTGTATGTTATTGACAATATTTTTTTAGGGTTAAGACTGCTCCCCTGATTCCTACAGCAAAAAAAAACTTTAAAATGCTGGCGGTAATATTTAAAAGAGTGCACCTGATCGAAAAGAAGGTGAATGACGTTAACTGTTCGAACATTCGATTCTTGGAAATTAACAAGTGGAAGAAGAAGTTTATAAAATTGTAATTTATAAAACTCAGCACAATTATATTATTAAAAAATTTAAACGATTTTTTTTTTTCTTATTCTCAAGAAATTCGGTGAAAACATATATTTGAACCTTACGTTCAAGTAAAGCGATGTAAAATCACGCATTTTAGACGTCGAAATGAGAACGTCTAAATTAGGTTATTTAACGTCATTTGGCGTTTCCATTTAGCACTAGTTCTGAACCAAGGGCTGTCGACTCTTTAATATTTTCATAGTTAAGAGTGTAATTGTATGCGCAAGGCATTCTGGGATGTCCTGGTAGTATAGAATTAAGTTTACAACAACAAACTTGGCTGAAACTCTGCAAAGTTTTCTGTTTTATATTGCGTTATTCTTTAATAAATAATACTCTTTGTTGTTCAGAAATGGCTTCAAACTGTGCTGCAACTAACTGTGCAAATACGGCATCAATTATTTTGAAAGTTTAATTTTTATTTAACAAACACTGAGTGAAAATGCCTTCTCCATAATGCCATTTCTACAGTATTTATGTTTTAAATACTGTAGAAATGTCTTTAAAAGTCTCATTGCATCACATTCAGACGATGTATAAAATAGAAAGACGTAAATGTAGTTCTATCTGTCATGCAATTCATGAAATTCTCGGAGCATTGTTTGAATTAGTTATAATTGTCAACTGTTATACTGACTTCTTATTGACCAACCAATTTGTTGATAAAAATAATACTCATTTTAATTTAATAAATTCAAAGAAGTTTCATGCTGATAAACCTGCTTTATGTGATGTAACAACAAAGCAAAATAACATGTTACTGTTCAGGGTATTTCAACTTCGGATTAAGAAATGAATGTTTTGTATTTTAAAACCTCTACCTCATTAGAGAATAAATGTTACAATAACTAGTATGTTAAAATGGTGTCAGGAGCTTTAAAAAAAAGTTTAGCTTTTAACTCGAAAAAAGGTTGAGCTGTATTTTCACATCTCACTTCAAGCAAAATTATTTAAAAAGTTTGATTAGAACTATTTAGAGCAAAGAGGGTTGAAATGAAAGACTTTTGAACAATTTGGATTAGCTTACCTAAATGTTTTGTTGTTGTTGTCATTATAAACTAGCAGCTTTAAAAACAATTGTCTTAAAGAAATAGATTTTAGCGTTGTACTGCATATAAATGCTTTATTTAAACATATACACTTAAAAAAACTAAATAAACAAGATTGCCTATTTTTGCTGACAAAAAAAAATCAATTCTTATAAAGAAAACTATTGTACAATGCATGCAGATTTATCAAGCTTGTTAAAAAAGGGGTCTGACTGTGTCAACAGTGTGTGGTAATACGTTTTGGTGAAGCGATGGATATAAGGCATGATTTAGAGACCAATATGAAAACAAACAACCAAAATTGGTCACTAAAATCTTTTTTTATATCATTGATTTGTTATATTCTATTTAACATTGTTTATGAAATTTATTGAAAAGTAGCTTCGTACTAAAAACCTAGCTTTTAGATGTTATTTAATATCATGGAATTCTGTACTTTTAACGTTTTATTTAAAGATTGCTTTTAACATGCTTTTTACTAATAAAAAAAAAAAGTTTGTATATTTGTCAGAACAAGAATTTTGTCTAATATTCGGCTGTGTATATATATATATATATATATATATATATATATATATATATATATATATATATATATATATATATATATATATATATATATATATATATATATATATATATATATATATGATAACTTGCTATGTAAATATTACAATGAAAATGATAACTTGCTATGTAAATATTACATGGTAAATTATTTTATCAAGTTTCATTCGAAGATTTTCAAATTGGTTTATTATTATGACCCGATAAGCTTTATTAAGACATGATATATTTAATACTACACTGTGATATTGCTGCTCTTTTGAAAAATGAGAAACCTATAATTCTAATATGGAATTTTTATGAGAAAGTTATATGAGAAATCTATAATTCTAATATGGAATTTTTAAAAATAATGTCTAAATAGTATAAAAAAATAAGATTAATTGTATGAGTAGTTTACAAAATGAATTAAGAGCAATCAACGTTGAAAACAACGTATTTATTTGTTTTTAAATGTTATACTACCAGGGCATCCCACAATCCTCTGTAAACAAATTACAAGTTTTTACGCGAGTTGACAGCCCTTGTTCTGAACGTCCTAAACTCACGTATTTTAGACGTCTAAAAACACGTCTTTATTTCGTCCTAAAAAGACGTCATCTGGCGTTGCCATTTAGAACCAGTTCCGGTGTAGCGTTTTTAAATTACTGCATTAAATTTTTACTGCGCGGAAGTTTTCAACCGTTCAAACTTCATTTGCGGTAAAATAATTGTACTGATGCAGTAATATTTTAACGTTAAAATTTTACTTCACTCGTTATAATTCTACTGCTTTTTAGTTTACAATTTAGATAGCTTATTTTGTCAAGATGTACAAAAATATTAACTTTAATGATGTCAGGAAATATTTAAATGACAATTCTTTTCCTGCAAATGTGAATATAAGAGGAAAAAAAGCAAATTTTAAACGGCAGTGTAAAATTTTTGTTATTGTTGACAATAAGTTGATGTATTGCAAAAAAGGTATTGGCGAGGTAAGGAAAACTTGTTTTTATAAAAGAAGTTTTTATTTAATTTAAAAGTTTTTACTTAAATAAAATAAAGGAATTAAAAAAACAATATTCTTTATTGTGCATTATTTTGAATTAACACAACATTTTTCAAAAATTCGAAAATTTATAGTTTTAAAACAACTCAAAATAATTTAAAAATTTCATACAAATAATTTTTTTTATTGTAGGTGATTGTGATAATAGATCGGGAAGAACAATTAAACATTGTTAAAGAAGTCCATGAGGGTCTCGGTACTTCTGAGAAAGCTGTTGCATTAGCTAGCCACTTAGGAATTAATGCTGTGAGAAAGCAAATTTCTTCAAGAATTTTTTGGCATTCAATTGTGGAGGATATCACAAAACATGTAGCTCAATGTGAACGATGCCAAAAAACCTCTAACAGAAACCTAAAAGTGTCTCCTGCTTTAAAACCTGTTAAAGTAGTACAAAAAGTTATGAAACAAGTTGGTGTAGATTTAATTAAACTACCTGAATCAAATGGATTCAGTTATGTAATTGTCCTTATAGATTATTTTTCTAAGTGGACTGAAGCTGAACCTCTTATCGATAAAATAGCAGTATCAGTAGCAGCCTTTCTTTATAGAGTTATTTGCAGGCATGGTTGTTTTCAAATACAAATTAATGACCAAGGTCGTGAATTTGTAAATTCAGTATAAATTGCACTTCATGATATGACAGGCGTTCAGCAACGTGTAACCTCTGCTTACCATCCACAAGCCAATGGCCTTGTGGAGAGAAAGAACCAGACAATTAAGAAAGCAATTGTTAAGATCTTAAATGAAAATGTTAAAAGTTGGGCCTCAGTTTTAGATGGAATCCTTTTTGCTTTACGTGTTAAAGTGCACGATTCAATGGGGTATTCACCATTTTATCTTATGTATAACCGACAACCCTATCTTCCAATTGATGTAAACTACACAAATGTATTCAATGGGGATAACTACAATCCTGTATATGATAAAGAAGTTTTACAAAAAGCTTTACAAATGAAAAAAGGGCTTGAAGAAAAAGCCATGACCAATATTGTTTGTGCACAAAAAAAACAAAAAATTGACTATGATAGAAAGCATACAACACCTGACACCATCAAATTTTTTTGTGGGTCAAAAAGTACTATTGAGAAATCTAAAGAAAGAAAATAGAAAAGGTGGAAAAATGACTTTCTCGTGGCTTGGTCCATATGAGATACTTGATATTTTGTCAAACTCAACATGTTTATTAGGAAACATTAAAGGGAACAACACAATAAAGAAGAAGTACTCTCTACATCATGTTAAACCATTTGTTGAAGTGAAAGGTAATTCAAAATTGCATAGTTTAACTTCTGAGTGCAATAATCAGGATAAAAGTCAACGTAATTGCAAATTAATGAAACATTCCACCAAAGAAGTTCTCCAAAAAATAGCTGAAGAACAAGGACTTAAAATGTTTATAATGCCAGATCTTTTTGATGGAGAAGAAAATGATGTACCTTCAAAAACACATGTTTGCAAAGGTGATGGCAATTGTTTTTTTCGAGCAATTTCGTTTTTGTTGACAGGTTCTGAGTGTCAACATACAGGTGTTCGCAATGTTGTTGTTAAACATATGGTATCATAGCCTTGTTCCAGTCTTTTGTCCGGATATTTAGGCAATGATGTGGAAAACTACATTACCAAAAGTGGTATGGCCACAGGTAGTATATGGGCTACAGATGTTGAGATCCTTGGTACTGCAAATCTTATTGGAATTGACATTGCTGTATGGTCCTTCACTGGACAAATACTAGCATGGCTAAAATATCCAGCATCCATGAAACTCGACCTACTAACAGCTCATAGTATTCTTTTAGAAAATAAAAACAATCATTATAATGTTGTTTTGTCACTAAAAGCTTTGTAAATGAAATGATGTTTAAACTGAACTAAAAGGATGTTTGTATATTAGTTGTTTTACAAGGTTTGTTATAAAAAAATAAATAATTTGCTCAAGGTTGCATATTTTTTACAACTTAAAAAAACGTAAATAAACTTGTTTGTAATATAATTTTACAGAAGTGATTTTATGGATTGCTAGGCTATTTAATTTATTCTAAGATTAGATTTTGTCGCACAATAAAGGAAAATCGCTTTACTTGATGACAGTAAAATTATAACGAGCGCAGTAAAATTATAACGTTAAAATATTACTGTCTAAGTAATATTTTAACGTTATTATTTTACCGC